AATAGAGTAAAGAATATTCGAAGAGTCCGTTATTGTTAGTCTTTATCAATTTCTTTTATTCCATTTCATTTACTGGCATCAGGATTTAATTACTATTTATAAATTGAATGATTATATAATAAATTTATTCTTATTTATATGATGATCATATATAATTTCAAACGATGTATATTCAATTACATTACTAAAATATTTTAACCTGTAATGCATTTTTTTAAACAGCCTACAAATTCGGATAACTTCCTTGCATGAAAACTGTCTTGTTTTTTTTAATTTGTATCCTTTACTCAGTGATAAATGTGTTCATTCCCAAATTTTATCATGTCGAAATAAATAAATAATAATGATAATGTGGGGGCGGCTTTGGGAGTGATAAATAAACAATTCAAATGTGTAACTGAACTAAAACTATCAAACAACATTAGCTCTCTTCCAACTGTCATAGCTGTAAAACTGATAATACAAACCTGATTGAATAAATTTCTTACATAGAGGCTGCATTAAGTTTTCCCAATTTCTTTAATACCTCGGAAAATAGTTTTATTGTAGATATTTCTTTTCTCATCTAGTCGACTATTTCAGTCGTATTCACGATTTATCTATTTGAATAAATTAAAATATTTACTCGGTAAACCAATTTGTCATAAAAAATGTAACAACCTGGCACAAATATACAATGATTAGAGTTATTACACTGCATCAGCACGATAAGATGGATACTAGACCATTATAACTATCACCAATAGTAACAAAAAAGACTAAACATTGCGAACATAATTCGAAAGGAAGAAATAAGTTTATAATAGAGAAAATATGTACCCGTAATCTATGCGTAGTCATAGACGTAACTTTTCTACAACAACACTGTCGATTTCGTTCCGTTTTACCCAACGTCTTTAAGTAAAGGTTATGTTAATCGTGAGGGCGCATACCAAAAAGTCCTGATAAGACAGCTTGACTTAAGTTGACTAGACAATCATAAGCTAGATGAAACAGAAACTGATTTGTCAGTATTACATTTCTTAAACCTCTAAGACGTATAATAGTTCATATATACTTTTGTAGTTTCACACCAAGGATTGACTTTTGCTATACAACTGTTAAAAACTCCATAGTGTTGAGTAGCTGTTTCGCGACAGTATGAGAATTCTAAGCGACGTATATACATGACTATATCAGAGATTGAATCTAGGAGATAAAAAAAGTTGACAGAACTTAAACCTTAGACCGCTGGGTTACAATCTAATGGTTTACATTTCTAATCTCATCTGTCTAATGCCTCCTACTTTCCAGTGTTTGTCCAGATAAGTTTAATTTATGACTAAAAACATCACATTCGACAATATACACTGGCCTCTTCACTTGTCATGTTGTTGTCTCTAGTGAAATACTAAAACAATACAATAAAGATTTAAGTTTTAGACATGGTTCTAGTAATTTTTTGACTCACCACAGGTTTCCGCATATAAACTTTCAACAGATCCACCAAAAGGACCTGACACAGATATAAATCCCTTGATATATTTATGTTTCCATCTTTTATCTTGCAGTTTTAAAAAATACATTGAGTACAATGATCCTAAACTGTGGCCTAATAAGTAAACTGGACATTTTTCACTATTTTCATAGGTCTCTTCAACCAATTCCTTTAATTTGACGAAATATTTTGCGTTTTCATCTAAAAAAAGAACGGTGAAACTTTGTTTTTCATTCTATTTTAAAATATACTTGGCGCTTTGCGAAAATCATACGGTGCAGAACGTAATGTTTTATTTCGCACAAAAAATTTGTCCTCTGTTAAACTTTGAACAAGTGACTTCATATAACTTGTTAATGGATATTTTTCTTCAGATAAATATTCACTAGCCCAAGTATCACCCCAACCAGGGAATTCAACATTACACAACTCTCTGTCTCTCGTTTTTTGTGTCTTCGGATCATAAATTAATCTGTTTTATATAAATAGAAAATATTATATAATAATTTATTTTACCCCATATAAGTGAATAATTTTTCCGGGATCAAAAAATAAAGTAACTTAACCCAAAGTGTAAATGGTTTCGTATGTGATTGTTTGTCAGTTGGTTTACATAATGCTTGTGTTCCACCAATTCCATGTATTAGTATAAGAGGATATCGAACGTTTTCATCTCTCACTTTTTCCAAAGCTATACCTTTTAAATTATATGAAGATGATGTAAATAACCCATGTAATAAAACTAACTATTATAAATTACAAAATATAAACTAAATTTACCATTAATTTAATAAATCTAATCATATTAGTCACTATTTCAATGTCTATTCATAATTGTACATTGTTCTGGATTATATCGACAAAAGTAAAATTTCTTTGACTATTATTTAAACAATTAAAATCATTTATTATATACCTTAATTTTATTGTCAATCTTTTCAAATGATATCAGACTTGATTTGATTATGTAGGCGATTGAATATTCAATGATGAATAGATAAACTCATATCATCATATTATTAACCAATCAAAAATAAATTTGTCAAATCTTAAAATTAAATTAAAAATTGCCTTAAACTATTATTATTATTATTATGATAATTATGTGAAATTAATGTAAACATACGGATCATCAGAAAGTTGATCTGACTAACAGATCATTGAATAATATGAATTTCTTATTTAGTATCTAATCAGATCAACATAAAAGTTACTTAGCTTACTATAAATTCCATACATTGAGTACTAATAATAAAACATGATTGACAAGAATAAAAATAGATTTATATTGATTGTTAAATAGTTTTTTTCTTTTTTCTTAATTGGTAATGAGACAGTTTTATTATTAGTTAATGATAACCCTTGAATTAAAAAAATACAAATCATTCTCTTAAGATTAATATGATTGGAGTGGTAGAAAATGAAAAGTATATTTTTCAAATATAATCTTGCTTCTTAGAGAAACACTTCCAACTGAACATAAGTATCTGTACGCTTTTTATATTCTACTTAAATCTTACATCTATATTAAAATATTCTATAGTATTAGTTTAGAATATAAAAAACTGTTCAGTAAGGAAATTTTTCTTTTGTTTACCAAATTTGTACAATTGTAATTACAGTTGTTGTATATATAGTAGACTATAACAAAGTTAAAGGATCTTGAATCATTAACTAAATTACTACAACTTTATCAATACTTCTTCTTCATCTATCAGGTTCAAGTTTTGTAATAGTTGATGGTTCAATAATAAAGTCAGAATAATACATGGAAGTAAGATGTAAAAGACAGTTTCTTACATGAAGATTGTAAAAAAAAACAGGAGAAAAAGCAGGTGTTTATAGCAACTTCTGAAATAATAATGGGGTTATAGCTTAATATGAGGTTGTGTAAAAGATAAATAATGACGTGAGTCTCTATCTGTGACTACTTGTTCACTAGCTCCTTTTGAACAGACAACGTTGTCTTCAATAAGAGCGGTCTTTCCAAACTTATAAGTGATCAATACTCTTCTTCGTTATCTGAAAGCGAAGTGAAGATATTCAACAGCTTCACTTCAGTATACCTGCTCACTTCATTTCAGCCATACCATCTGGAATCAATACTCTAACTATTTGATAGCGTCAAGCAAACTGACTCTAAGAGAGTGTGTCTATATCATAAACATTAGCAACTTATTAGTTAAATCCTGATCTCTGTGTTTGAAAAATAAATATCTCATCTCTTATTTCACTGGGATCCTAACTCACCAAACTTTTAAGTTGTCATTTCCATATCCTTGTTTCTAATTTCTCCATCAATCTGAGTGTACAAATTATACCAACAGCATTTTCATACGAATACTTACTGTGATGAACTGTGTTTTGAGTAACTCGCTCTAGAACTTCTTGAAACCTACATTTTCTACAGTTATTCATATTAAAAAAAACTAATATGCTTTCTGTGAGCCACAAAGTGTCTACGATATCTGTTTCTATCATACTAACTGACAAATTAAAGAACACAGAAACACAAGAACTCTGCTTCGCCTCGTCCGAAAATATATTTTAGAATAATTTTCAAACAATAAGACATATTATTCAACTATGTCAATCGGTCTAGATATTTAGTTTGTGACAACAGATGAATAAACAAAATGGTCTGTACGGATGATAAAAAAAACCATGTAGGCTTAACATAGTTCTAGATACCAGAGATCACTTATCTTCTGCAGATACGAGAAAATCGGTTGATAATAGCTGAGAGACTCAATATGAATATCACCTTAAAGGTAACTAAAGAAGAAGGCGTTGACGTTTGTGGTGACAGTTTATTTGAACGTGGGGGTAGGTAGAGACAAAGGATACTACTTGTAAAACTGTCGAGAGCGTGATATGTGTGTTATATGGTTAAGCTCGTTCGTTACCGAATTCTGTTTCGATTGTGTTTGGGATCTGTGGTTGTAAAGTTGTCTCGCAAAAAGCGTTGTAATGTCCGAAATATCTGTGGCACATATTTTGGTGCATTTAGGGATAACAGATAATCATCCCAATAGACCACTGGTTCAGTCTAGTCGCCTATAGCATTTCTGAGGCTACTATCAGTTGTAAGCCCGAGTAAAGAAGGAGATATTGTCATGAGGTCTGGAGCCCCATCCCGTAGAAAACGACCTTTCTAAAACAACGCTAAGCAGAATAAACAGACTGTCTAACCGTAAAATAAAACCCCAAAGTAACTGGTATACAAGTATGCTGGGAAGTATCCGCCACTAAAATATTTGATAACTGTTAGTTAATATCTTTCAACTTCGGAGTTTAATGTTATTCAAATTGTTATCCCCTCATCACTCCAATTTTTAATAGCTAATTGATTGAACTATCGATTTATAAAGCAATGCGGCATGAAGGATATTTTCCATTCCGCATGAGCAAGAAATAAATGTAACTTCTACATACCAGTGTTTGATGTTTGGAGTCTGAATGACCTTCGTTTAATTCAAACTCTTGCATGATTTGAAGGTTAGTTGTCATGTCTGTGTACAGTATGAATAATGGATTGGTGAATTTCTGTAAAGTTAGATCTTTAAATAAATTCATATCCTTCGTGGTATCAAATATTGATGCTTTTGTGTTGCTACTTCATCGTAATCTGTTATTACCGCTCGCTGCAATTATTCTGATAGTCAAATCGTCATTACTGACAACCCTATACAGATCGACATAGGGTTGTGGAGATTGCTGTTTCGTCCCTTAGTACCACGAAATGTCCATCCACTGCTTACGGGTCTTTAGTGGTGAACTTTTATTGATTGGTTCATTCACTCAGTTAAATCTTTTGTTTCAGATATAAATGAACTGACTATATATAGTCCTACTCTGAATGAGTTTACATTGTAGCCTTCGTCGTTAGTAGGCTTTAATTTAAGAAAAAAAACAGTGGAACTTATGACTCCCTGGAGTTATTGTTCAGGTAAAACGCAAATTAAATATACGATGTGCATTCAGAAGTTACATATGTAACAACGTGTAACTTCGTAAATACGTATATCAGTTAGAGTTGCCATACCACATTAGCACAGAGGTGTATTTGTTTATTCAAATCCCATAGTGGTAAAAGTAGTAAAAGTATAAACAGTAATCGGAAAGATTAGGGTTTGAAGATGTTATTCTAGGAGTATAATCCAGTGAAATAAATTTAGAAAGAGGAAAAAAGGAACATGGAGAATTAAGAAGACTAGAATTAGAGAGAACACAATTTCTTCATACTGTTTCATTTAGCGTGCTGAGCACCGTCGTCCATATGGGTGATGAAAATATTTTTATTCTCTGATTAAACAAAATGTAATGTAGTTTTTGCCTGTCAGGCTTCCATGATATCGAAGCTTCTTGGTGGAATTGAGGATTTTTAAGCGAAATATTCCTTGGTTTTTAAGATGTGTTAGGTTTATGTCACCATGGTTTCAAAATATTAACTAGGATTCTGATGAAATTACTTAGCAAAAAAGTCACTAGCAATTGTTGAGCGTTTTTTGTTATTTTGGGTACTTTTCGAGTAAACAATAAGTCATTGTTTTCTGTATTGGGGAATTAAAACTCTTATTGTTCATATAGAGCCTACATTATGAACGATACAGGATGTGGATATGGTTCTCCACAAATCCAACGGACGTATCTAATTCCACTTGCTGAACAGGTATATTTTGGCAAATCCTGGTTTATTGTCTTATAGTTTGTAAAGATTTCTGTTGACTCTTCATCTGTGGATGAGTTTTCAGACTACATAATTCGAGACAAGTCAACAAGTTGTAATAGATCTAATATGAAGTCATGGCGCAAAGATGCTTGCAAAGGTATACGTTTATGCTTTTTATCTTGCTTAGCATTAAGACTAGTGAATACTCGTACGATGATCAGTCCTGTTCCAAAAGATTCACCCATCATGGCTGACGAATCTGAGTTTCCTAAATTAGATATGTCAGTAGATTTAGACAGAAAGCTTCCACGTAAACGTTCCAGGACGAACTTGGAATCAACAAGTAAACATATGTATAGATTTGACTCCTACATTTAGCTGAATCTATTTCTGCTCGATGTGTTTCTTCCACGTTATCGGATATCAGACACACAGTTCCAGCGGATTTACGAGTAAGTAGTTTATATTTTTCTACAAATATTTTAGAGGCAAATAAAAGGCTTTCTCGCATGCCATCTACTTTCCGATATAGGATTACCGGTTTGGCCATCCTTGTTGATTAATGGTCCCCCATTTTGTGGCAAAACTACATTGATTGAAGCAGCATGTGGAGTAATCACAAAATGTTTTCTTTTTGAATAATTGCAGACTCTAGGTTTAAAAATCATCACTGTTTCGGTTGGTACAGTACCATCATCTATACGTCCTTGGATGGATATATTCAACCAAGCTAAGGTACAATTAGTTCCTTAATTGAGATCCGATTAGAATTCCTCACCATGTATTTTACATTTGGATGATATTGAAAGTATGGAGAACATTCCTCCCCTGTTGGGACGTTCCGTCTCACCTGCCTTCTAAAAAGTCAATTGCTTAAAGGTATCAATATACTGTGCTATTCCTTATATTGATTCATGCCCTTTAATTGTTCATAATGACCAACGGACCCTTGAATAGTATGAGTTACATGTATATAAGGTTTCCACTGCTGTTAAACCTATCTATATGAGCTGTTTGTCACATGGTTCACCACGTCCACACTTTTGGGTTGTAGTTAAGTATAAAGATAACTATTAATAGTGTCTGCAACGTGTTGTGTCCATTATTGGACAGCCAAATATTTGCAAAAAGGTAGGTAAGTGGTTGCTAGAAAAGCTCAGGAAAAAATTTCTTTCTGTTCTTCAGAATAGCCCTGATCACTGCGCCAAAATAAAAGTCCAATTACCTGTGAAACCAGATTCCAACCCCAAATTTTTCCCGAAAAGTCCTGCACCGTATTCTGTTCTTGAACTGGTCGATCAGGAACTTAAACGTTTACAGCAAGCTGGTATAATCCAACCAGTCAACTACTGTTCATGGACCGCAGCGGTCGTAGTGCTTAAGAAGGCCAGTCAAGCTATACGCATGTGTCAGTATTCGTTACCAGTTCCTGATGACCAGTTTGTTATGCATAAACAGTGAAACATGTTTCTCGGAAATAGACTCTTCTGACGCCTGTCTGAAAGGAGAAGTAAATGATGATTGTATAGAGCTTTCGATTATCAACAATCATCGCGGGCTATTTCAATATACCCGCCTACAATTTGGTATTATGACCGCACCTCAGTCAGTCAGTCAGTAACAACGTAGAACTTCGTACGTACGTACATCAGTTCGAGTTGCCACACCACATTAGCATAGAGATGCAGTGGTCGATTCAAATCCCGTAGTAGTAGAGGTAATAAGAGTATAAGCAGTAATCGGGAAGATTAGTGTTTGGAGATGTTACTTAAAGAGTATAATACAGTGAAATAAATTTGGAAAGAGAAAAAAGAGACAAGGAGGAATAAGGAGATCAAAATTTGGGAGAACACAAAGAGTGAATGCACCTGCGCCATTGCAAACGACTTTGAGCCATGTCATTCAGGGTCTCTAACCATCGGTTGCTATTTGCAAGAAAGAGGCGGTTATCTGAGCATAGCTGCAACAGACGGTCGCCATTATCTGTTCTTTGAGCCACGATGCTATAAGATCCACCCAGGTGTCTTTCCCTATCGCTAAGTTTACCTACTTGAGCATTAAAGTCACCGGCCATTATTACTACATCCGAACGCCTAGCTTTAAGAAGGAGGTCGGAGAGTTTTCTGTAAAACTCATCTTTTACATCATCTGCGCTGCAGTCAGTGGGAGAATAGGCAGAGACGACGAAGAGGCAACGACGAGTGTCCCTATGTTTTCGGATCCTTACTGTTCCGTTCAGTCGGACAGCGCACAAACGTTTGTCTACTGGGATCCACTCTAAGAGAGCTAGTTCTGCCCTAGGACTCAATGCTATACCTACGCCGGCGAGGCCACGGGAAGCAGAATCTGGGCTTCCAGATACACGAAGTGTGAATCGAGTTGGTTCTTTATTTTGGCATGGTGAGAACCGACCATCTTTCAGCAAACAGTGGATACAATGTAAACAGGTATACCTGGAACAGCAGCTTATCTAGGTGACATTGATATGGGTTCAACTGACAGTGAACTATCAAATCGACTGCATCAAGTTAACAAATACCAGTCAGTCAGTCACAACGTAGAACCTGTACGTATATACGTCAGTTTAAGTTGCCATACCCATTGTTATAGAAAGATAAAGTTATCAGGCCGAATTCCAGAGTAGTAGAGTTATCAACAGTATTACCAATAATAGAAGAGATTGGGTATCGAAGATGCGACTCGGAAACAAAATATAAGTTAACAAAATAAAAACAAAAAAGAATTCGAAGGATTTAAAATCTCAGGATTTGGAGAAGACAAAGTATGAATGCACCTGTGCCATTGCAAACGATTCTGATCCATTTCATTAAAACTGTTGGTAACGATAATCACGCGGATCCCAACCAGGCAGTCTGTACCTATTAATATGGCCTAATATAATTGTCAGTGACTTCATGAACTGATGCCATGTTCTGGTTTGACTGTACCTAACTTTCTTCCAGCCTACTCTTGCCCCAGAAAACATTGCCCGTCAAGTTAAACTGTGGTTGGGCATACGTAACACATCTTAACCATCTCAATCGATAAAGATTTACTACCTCGCCAATCGATTTGCCATCCTTACTTAGAACCCTTTTGCTAACACAGGGATTGCTTACTAGTTGGTCCCAAAATACATGAGTAATGCTTCGAAGAATCTCCGAAAATCGCCCATTCTTAATGACCGTGTTCCACACCCATAAATAGAACGGACTGTTGCACAGCAAACTCTTCCTTTGTCTGGTAGACAGATTATGAATACACTGGTCTTGAGTGCTGTTAGAGGTATGAGGGCGGCTATCAATTCCAGGTTGCCCACACCGTGGAGGGGTTCTTCCGGAGGTACCTGAAAACGGAATTGAATTAGAGGAGAATAAAGTCGCTTCATATCTTTCTTTCTACGAACTAATTCTTTCTTCCTGTACTATATCCTTATATGCAATCTTTCTTTTATATATTACCACTTCTGAATTAACTACTTTTATGAATTTCGTGTTCATCTTGTTGTGTTAATGAGGTATGGCAACTTGGACCGATGCATATACGTGCCTGGTCCTGCGTTGTAGCTTACTGACTGACTGACTCTCAGATTTTTTTTATATGACTGATAAAATAACAATTAAAATGAAATGTAATATCAGCAGGTAGTAGACTTGGATAAGACTGAAAGGCATGATTTTGGATAGCTTCGTATAAAATCCATCTTTAACTTCATCTGAGTTGCATTTGGTGGGAGCGTAGGCAAGGAAGGACAAGGAATAGGCAACGGAGTGTGTCCCTATTTTACTGTCTCGTTTCGTCGAACAGCAAACAAGCAACTGTCTATTGGAATCCAGTCTAACAGGGACTGTTCTGCCTCAAGATTTCATGTTGTACCGACATCAGCGAGGAGTAGCAGTGGAGTCTTCAGATACTCGAAGGGTAAATCGTGTCGGTTCTTTATATTGACGAGGTGAAGTTAAATGAATGACCATACCTCGATCTTGTACGCGCGTTTCGGAAACTCAGCATACATAAATGGCTCGAGATTCTAGATTCCTAGCTAAAGAGGCCTGCTGTCTTATCTGACACAAGGTTCGAACATGAATAGCTCCAGAAATAACATTTCGCGAACCCAAATCACTAGCATTGGTTGCGGGTTGTAATAAAGATAGATGAAAAGAATTAGTTGTGGAGGCGAAAGAATTATTTAGAGGTTAGTGATGAATTCGATCGTCAACCAGATGATCTCAAATGCTGATAGAGATATGAATGAGAATTTATCTTCCCGATTGCCAACGCCGTAAAAGGATGTGTTCTTGGGGGACCTAAAAAGAAGTTGGATTGGTTGTGGTCTTAGAGACCTGGGAGCGTGACTACAGGACCCAAGTTACAACTGCTTGGGGCCGCGCACAGCCTTTTCATGAAAAGGTTTTGACTCCACACTTCAGAAAGCCCTACCGCCGCAGATGGAAATGCGTAGAGTAAGGTGAGGTGTAATATTTTTAGGGTTGGCCCTTTCCAACTTCCTTCTGTTGTGAGGAGGCAGCATCGCTGCAGATGCTGGTTGTTTAGGAGAAACATCTTACTGTTGTCACACCCCTCTACAGTCATCGGTACGACTTCGCCCTCGGGCCTCAAGTTGCTGAGTTTAGTATTAACGTTCTCCAACTGACCTATTTGGCATGGTAGGACCTGAAGGAACATGTGTTCTGGCCAATCTAACTCGGTTGAGTCGTCACAATAGGCTAGCCTGAGCACCACGTCAAGGTAGCAGCTACCGTCGAGACAAATATCATCGATCAGTCTGATGTCCTCTCGCAGTTCATTGGCGTTCAACAACCTAAACCAAAGGACATGATCATTGCTTTCGTAGATGTAGATTCAGAAGTAAAGTGTGTAGTATCAAATACCATTCGAAACACTCGTGTCATCTGATAAAGTCAGGGAAAAATCTCTTCGTGACCCAGTACTACAAGTTAAAAAGTTCCACCTAAAAGGATGGCCCTCGAAGATCAGCTCCGTGGAACCTCAAAGGCGCAGACTACGTCAATCATCATTTAGTTCTATTTGAAAAACGTGTTATAGTCCCAAGGAATCTGCAACCAACAGTGCTTGAACAACTGCATCCAGGACACCCTGGAATAAATCTCATAAGAGCGTAGAACAAAGTTTTGTATATTGGCCTCACTTAGACACCCAACTGTAGTAGCTTTCACGTTCATGTAACGGATGGACATTAGCAACAAAAGCACCGCAGAATACAGATCTGCAATCATGGCCAACACTACAGTCACCGTGGCAGCGTAAGCACTTAGACTTCTCTGGTCCACTCCATGGACAAACTTACCTTTTGCTAGTTGATGCACACAGCGAGTGGTCAGAAATTCTTCTCATGGAACAACCGGCTGCCATCTACGCAGTCAGAAAACTACATTAACCGTTCAGTTGTTTCGGGGTTCCTGAGTTAGTAGTCAGCGATAATAAGACATGGTTTACGTCTACTACCTTCGCAGAATTTTGTCAACGGAACGGAATCATTTGTATCCGAACACCTTCATTCTATTTGTGAATCGATAGCCAAATCAAACGCTTAGTTGGTATACTTAAAAATGCTCCGAGAAGATCAAAATGGAAAGAGATCATTGAAGTTATTTTAGAGATGGCCTTTATTCCTATTCTACCTTGTTACTTGGAATATAATTACGTTCCTCTCCAACCATGTTTTGATTTAGAGACTTGTCAAGTAAAGCAGTGTCCGGAGAAAATAGCTTCTTGACAGTTCGAAGCCTAATGGTCATGTAAACAATGAAATAACACGGTTATTTGGGTTATTCATAAACTCGTGGCATTACCACCGATCTATAATTCATGTAGTCTTATCGTGTGGTATTTTCGAGGCTGGACTGTCTACTGCTTGGTTCAAAACCACGTTTAATGTCAATTTTTGCCATCATATGATATTTGTTTCACTTTTTCAAAGCCACACACAACTCGCTATATCGTTGTCACGTTACATTACTTGTTGTTGTCATTGTTTTCATATATTACATGATATTATACAGGAATCTATTTTGCCTTGGATTTAATGCATGTGTGACATTTTTAATGATTTCAGATATGATCAACTCAGGTGTTGTACTTATTGGGGAAACTCGATCTCTTCTTGCCAGCCTACCTCAAAATATATTAGATTTGTTTACACAGAAGTTGACATTTGGAATGTTAAATGAGGCTCATCGTTTGAGGTAAATTTACCGGTTTAAAATTAAGCTTGCTAGTTGTTTAGTCGACAAAATTATCTAACTCTACAGATAACGTAACCTTTTCAACTGATGGTTATGTCGCATCTTAAACATCTCTTGCTTAGTAAAATGTGTTCACTATCATCATCCTCAAACTGGTGCCTTGTTAAGTGCTACACATTATCTAATAGTAATAACTTCATGCTTTTTGTCTGTGGGACTTCCTAGATTTCCATAGATGGACTGGGCGCAGCGCTGCACAACCTGTTCAGAGGTCCTCACGAAAAACACCTCTTAAAATTTCATAGAAATAAAATTGAATGAAAGTGGTTTCTCAGTTAATTGTTGTTTGCTTGGGTCTATTTTCACTCCGCCACTGTTTGATCACCTTGAGAAATATCTATATTATGCCCCTGCCAAATGTCTATCATCTTACTGTGTGCATTTTTTTAGTTTGCCGTATTGTTCAATCACTTTACTAATTAGTGATATTCATCAGCTTATGCTATGATTTTTAAGTTTGATAAAAGGAAGTCAGTCACGTTCCGGTAACTGTTTCATTTGATAGAATACATTTAGGGTAAATGTTTAAATCGAAAGCTAACACTACACATTATATCATTCAATCACTCATTGGTGTATCTCCCTTAATTTGTGAAGAAAGAGTTTGTGTGTTATATTATAAATAAGTCCCGATCCTCTAGAACAGTTTTCTATATGCCCCAGAAACAATATTGACGCATTCATACAGACACATTCGCGTTCCATTCAATTGATTGTTCAGCAATGATCCATAGTGTCACAATTTAGTCTGCACACGATCGATCCTTAAGGAATCCAGCATGTTGATCTCCAAGTTGGGCGTCTACCGAATCTTTCATCCGGTTCAGCAATACTCCATTTAAAACTCTTCCTGATACTGACAGTATTGTGATGACTCCGTAGTTTTCAAATTTGCTCAGATCTCCTTGTTTTTGTTATCGCGATAGGATACCCTTCTTTCCAATCTTCCGGCACTTCCGAAATCCGATTTGTATCTCCTCATTCCCGTTGCTATTTAACTGGTCCTCCCAGTCTCCCACATTGTCCGGACGTTCCACTTACCTATTAAACTTGTTGCTGTGGTTGTTAGAATGGGCATCGGCCCTGTGGCTTCCGAATCCTGAGGCGTTATAATTCTTCCTCCAACTTGAAGGGCAGAGTTTAAATAGTTTAATTCGTTCATTCTGGTTGGCGTTTTTTAGCAAGATTTTCTTCTACGGGATAGGGTTGCAGACCCCACGCTCAACCCTGCTCCTTTGTGTTGGCTTGAGACCGGCAGTAGCCCTAAAGGAGCCACAGGTGGAGTTAAAAAGTAATACGTGCCACACTAAATATTGCGTGTACGTTAGATTGCTGCATGGAAGCCTAAACCAAAACAGCTAGCTCTCTTAAGAAGCCATGTCTCATGTCTAATTCAATATGTAGTGGAACAATATCATGAGATGCTATCGTATGGTAGTTGATGACCAGGAATAGATTCACATGCAATTCGTTCCCTCTGAGTTTTGGGGCCTATGAAAATTACTAGTTTAGAATCAGGATTTTCCAACTCACTTGAGTATACCCTCTGTATTCACCAGCGCCATTCATTCTTTTTTGTTCTTTCAATTTCGTAAATAATACTCTCATCGCGTGGAAGCACTTAGTAGAGCTTACAAATGCATGATCGTACGCAAGCATTCCCAGTAGCAGATCGAGATCTCACTTTCGGTCTGTACCGAGACAATTAGAGGCCAGTGTCGGCTGGCACTGTTTTCTCATAATCGTTTTGGTTTCAATCCATTCATAATATGTTGTCTACTTTCGCTTCTGTCATATTAGATTGTTGCAGCAGTACTTGTTAGATGATACTGATTTTATTATTTCACCGAAACCAGTAAGTTCTAATTCCAATCAACTACAACTCAGTGAAAACCTAACATGTCTTGAATTAGCCCGTCGAACACCTGGTTATGAAATCGGAGATTTAATTCGTCTGGTAGCCTATTTAAAAATGGCTTGTTAACAAGTAAACTTAATGATGTTAACGATGATGATGATGATGTTGATGACAACTTGAATAATCTTGATACTAACAGTATGGAGTGTGTTAAGAATGGTCAAAAGGTGCATGTTAATTTCTCCATTGAGTCGCGTGTCGCTGATAACTCTGTTTCGGTATGTTTCCTCATGTATATCATTTGTTTTAATTGGGTTGTTTCTATGAAAAGGTAGCTCTTCTTAGATTTTTTGTAGCTGTGGTTTTCTGTAGTTAGTCAACAACAACAACCCTCGGCTTACTGCGTATTAATACTATTCGCTATTACTCTTATACAACCTTTGGTAAATTTACAGTTCATCTTAAGTGTATGCTCATACTGCGTTAGGAGATAATGTATCAACTCTCTGTGTCACTTCTGACGTCTGTTCATAAAATATAGTTTGCTAGATACATAACATAACATTTGTCTATAAAGTATTTGGTATCGTTAATTCACTGAGATACTTGGTCGTAAGTAACTGGATATCATTTTTTTTACGTTGACCAGGTGTCATAACTCTACGCCCGAACTTATTTTTAATACACTTTCTACAATTTATTCAGAACCAATGATCTATAATGGGACTAGTTTCGTTTTGTTTCACCAAGCAGACATACAGAAATTCTTCTTCCCTTATTTATGAGGTACTCAAAATTGAAATACTTTTTATACATTTTACAACACAAATTGCATAGATGTCAAGGATGCAACAGGAGTTTGCAAATATAAGGTATTCGAAATGGTCTTACATACGAACTGACTTCTGCTGAAGATGTTCTTAATAGCATGAGATTATTGTACATTTTAGAATATCTGGTGCCGGAATTCATGTTTGTTTTTCTTATTATTAGTTATAAGATTTTGTGTGCATCTAAACAAGTTTCTGATTCCTGTTAGTAATCCAACTACTTTGAACTAGGTTTCTTAGTGCACCTTATTGTGTGGTCTGCACTACTTATACGAACAGACATAAGTAGTATGTAGCAGGAATTGGAATTTTCACCAGCAGAAAATTAAAACAAAGAGAAGAGCAAAGAAAATAGAGCAGTCGGAATGACAACGGGATTAGAAGAATGATGGAGTATGTAAAAGGCAACTGAAGACCGATATGCAAATGATGTATTTAGCGTATGATTTTCCATAAAACAATAAAGTGGTTTCCCGCCTTCAATTCTCCGTTCACTACAATATTACTGAGTACGATAAGAGTAGCATCCGTAGAATACTTAAGTAATTATTTTTTGACCTGTGTTTGCTTTTAATCCATAGGCTATTATTGTGTTTGCTTTCTGTGGTAATTGGAATTCAAAGAGAATATTGTTTGGCTGTAAAAATATTTGAATAGTTTGTACATCTTTTGACCTAAGCATTTGTAACACGGTTATGTTAATAAGCCAGTCACTTATTAACATAAGTATCATTCTATTTTCAACAAGATTTTCAGGTTAGCTAGACTTGTGATACTCTAGCTGCTAATAGTGCATCCTGTTTTTAATAAATGATTCCCATGGAAAAAGTCGAATTATAAATCCGAATTTTTCAGACAAATTGTATTTTATACAGAACTTCAATTCGTTTGCCTTCTTTTTAGGAACCAGCCACATATCCTTTAATCGTAACAAGAGAAATTGTTGACAAAGCGTTGGTTGTTGTCATTCCAGCAGTTAAAAATACTGCTGAATTTGTAACTATACCAGATGTGACTTGGGCTGATGTCGGTGGTCTCGAAACAACTAGACAACAATTATACAATCGCTTTATGGTGAGAAAATTGATGTTATATCTACGTTTTTAAAAGTTTTAATCTTATGTCATATTGGTTATATCTCGAATCGGTCGTCTTGATTGTTTGAAAAAGCTACAAAAATCTAGTAAATTACACCGAATCGTCGCATTTGTAGAATATAAATGAATGAAGTAAGAAATAACTGAAGTCGATCGTACAGGTTTTATTTGTTTATGACATGAAGAGCTTCATTTTCAGTACAAATTGGGTCAGTTACAAGCCTTGGATATTAAACTGCCAGTTTTTCTGCTTGGCAAACATCGGTAATAATTCCAATCGGTTATACTTATAAACTGCAATAGATTAGCCCTAGATAGTCATAAAATTTTAATTTCTAAGTTTTCGTATCATTTAATTAACCTTAGCCCATAACTGAAAACTGTATAGAAGTTAACTGTATCCCTCTTATATATCACTACCTAATTAGCAAATAAGTAACTAGTTCCTGTTACGAATGTATATAGCTTCTAATCGACGATTGGGAACGCGCTCAGGTTTTGCATCGACGTTCTGGAGGTGTACTACTTGAGGGTCCACCTGGATGTGGGAAAACACTCGTAGCTAAAGCTCTATCCAATCAAGCTGGTCTCAATTTCCTGTCGGTTAAAGGTCCAGAAGTCCTTAATAAATTCCAAGGTGAAAGCGAACGTCGTATTCGAGAAATCTTTGAAAGAGCACGTGCTTGTCAACCATGTCTGATTTTCTTCGATGAAATAGATGCTATCTGTCCAAGACGCGATAGTGATGAATCTACAGGTAACTGAATATTCACTTTCTGGTAGACGTTTTTTTTATTATAACAGTACATGTTTCCCCAAGTAAATTTGAATTATGAGGTTTCGCCTGAAGTTTTATCGAATAAATACGAAGTATTTCTTTCTTCGCATATGAATCCTGAGCTTGACGTTGTGTAATTCAGTCATTTAAACATTCGAGTTTTAAATCAACAATTGTCCGAGACTAGGAACATCTAGATTTTTTCACTATCATAACAGTCTTAGTAAAATAATTAATAATATGGCAATGAACAAATACATATTTACTCATTTTATGCACTTTTTGCTACTACTAACTTGGAAACACAAAGTTGATAAAGTGACATTCGGACCAGTTAAATGCTTAAATCACTGAGCTACAGCACGCTAGTTGAAAGACCAATGATAGTGTTCATCACTCTCGTCTATTCCCTAGAAAGTTCCGTCAATTTCATTCCAGCTCAATTTTTGTCATTTTGGATGAGCTGTTAACACATACTAACAATTACTTGTATAGGCTTCGGTTATGATTCAATTTCATCATTCATCTATTTGCGACCGAATTATTGAAAAAAATTTTAAACACAATTTTGTTTAGCTTTTAGTATAAATCCTGAGTGTTGGCGGTTTGTTCCTTGCTTTTTCATAAGTTTTTTGACTTGGTACGTCTAGTATTGAATATAAATGAAAGTAATTTTATTACCTTGATAATAAACACTTTCAATATATTTCGAAACTTCCTTATTAACTGATACATTTCGATCAGGACCAGCAAACTGCGGGTACATTGAGTAACAAAAACACATAAGATACATCGTAAACATAAACGAAAAAATCAAATGGCAAAATAGTTATTCGATCTATATAATAGTTTTAAAGTTTGATTATTATCATCAATATGATTTGATAATCTATGAAAATGTGAAATGAAAAGCAAATCAAATAAATGATTGAACTATCCTTCGTCTACTGTTCATTCGTTCTTCATTCGCTCAAAACTTCGGTGAGATAGTGAAGTTGATTTTTCATATTTTTACCAAGTTCAAAGTACTTGACATAAGTGTGAAGGTGTAAAGTTGTAACAAATTACTTTCAAATATTTCCTGGTTGTAGTATATTTCATACTCTCTATTTGGCTATAGAATATAATTTCATTAGACTGATTTGACTTTACGAGTTAATGAAAAAACTAACTTTCAATAATCAAGGAATCTAATCGGAATAATATTATCTTGAAATCAAATGGTTTCTAATTATTCTGTACTTCATGCTATCTAGATAATAAATTTAAATAAAACTCTTAGGTTTCATATCAAGTATAATGTATAAACGATTACCGACTTTTCAGATTGTTATATATTTCTATCTAAAGACTTTCGTTAATTTGCCGACCTTCAAGCAAATCGGTAAAAAGCTCTAGGGTTACTGAACTTTGGTACAACAACCACTCAAATTGTATAAAGGTATTGTTTTTCTAATAATCACAAAGTATTTTAAACCGGTATTCAAATGTTTTATTTGATATGGATTGAATTTGTGCAAATGTATCAAATTTTAATCATTTATTTTGAGATGATAAAGGTTTCTAACTCAGGAAGAAGGATTTTTGGAGTATTTCACCTTTTTGATTTAGATAGTAGTGACTGAGCTTTCACAGTCTTTCTAGACAACACAATCACGTACTTCGAGAATTATAAACAATTAAGAGCCTAAAGGTCAGGCCAGAGAAAAAGGTGAATAGAATAATTACATGGGAACAGTGAAAGCACAATTATGACCAACAACCAACTAAATCCTGTGTTCACAAAACAAGCTTTTAATTACCAGTCAAGAAATTCTAAAAACTCACTTACTTCTATAGTATGTGTTGATGATGTTAAGACGGTTGACTAAAGCTTCAGAATCCGACAATTCAATCCAAAGGATCCAATCCTGTTTCGGTTTAGGCGCTCAGGCAGCATTCCAGCCCTCGCACAAATCAAATGACGCAAATATATTTGGTGCCTTGTGTTTGAATAAATAAAAGGATCCAATACTAAAATCTCTAATAATCCTCTAAATAAGACAAAACTTAGTCAGTGATCAGTGTAGATGTTCTTGCTTAATTTCTGGTTAATATTTTGATGCTATTTTATTTTTGTTTGTTTGTGTTTTTCAATAGTTCACAAGCTGTGGGATTGTTTTTAGTTTCGTTGTAGTTTATAATAACTCTGGAAATTGGTTGTAAATGATTGCAAGTGAACTCAATAACCAATTAGAAACAACGAAATTTCGTACCATGTTATCAAGTACAGATAAAGATTTTGTGATAGAGCATGAAACTGTGTCACTGATTTGTGACGTATGGACTGATTACATTTTAAAAGTTATTCTCAATAGATTTCACTCGAACCTTCCTTTTTGAAATTATGATTTCATTCTTATTGCTTATCCCGATATTCTATCTTCACTTAGGCAGTCGAGTTAGTTTGGTTAATCAGCTTCTGGTTGAATTGGATGGTATTGACAAACATAGATCAGGTCGCGTTTTTGTTGTTGGTGCTACTAATCGCAAAGATATGATTGATCCTGCCATACTTCGTCCTGGACGTCTGGGCTTACATTTGATGATCAACCCACCGTCTAATGTGAAAGAACGTCTCTCTGTTTTATCAGCTTGTACTCGGTCTGCAACTACTCCTCGTATTGAGAATGGTATGCTGTCACTAGAACTCATTGCAAATGATTCACGCACTGAGAGAATGAGGTATTTAAATTTCATGAAACTAATCTGATTTTTACGAGATATTTTCCAATTTTATCCGTTTTAAAGTAATCTAACGTAGTCTGTTCTAGCGAATAGTTATTTTGTGTTTATGATCCAGAATGTCTATTATTTACTACCACTTTCCAATTTCAAAGCTCACGTGAAAAAGGGTTACAGTCAATACAATTTACACCAAATTTCCAACTATCCAGACATTTTCGATGTGTTCCTAATGAGTCTAAACGGATTATCGTTTCCTTTTACTAAAAAATTGTTCGTCATTGTATTTGTTTATATGTAATTGATAAGTCCACACTGTTACTTTACTTACATCAATAAGACTAGAGATCAGTTACATGAGAAAGGCTTACACTAACCTATTACTCTAAGATCCTGTCATTTGACTTATACGATCTAAGCAGCATAGGTTTTCTTAGTATCTTGTGTAACAATGCAAGATTATTTTGATAATTTACTCATGTGGTCGTTACAAAAATCGTGCTTCAGATTTATTTTACAACAACGCATACTTCGACACTAAATTGTCAGTCACTTCATTCGTATTATATTTAATCAACCTCAGTTCGGACAGCATATCAATAGCGGCGAAACGAGCAGACTAACGTACAGCCAACATTTTTTGCTTGTTTGTGTTCCAGTATTAGGTTCGCACCATAAACATCAGTTCAACATTTTCAATATTGATGTATTAAGGGAAATAATGAATTAGAGTATATCCTTGCAAGATTTCTTTTTCAGGATAAAAAATATCCTCTTTTGCTTCAACAACACATTTCTTCTTTCTTGAAATTTCAGCGGTGCTGATCTAGAAAATTTATTGGAATTAGCTAAGCAGAAGGCTCAAATTGCAAGACAAGATTTTGTTTCACAAGCCAACTTACTTGATGCATTATCTGAGTTACATAAATAAACAATACGTCCTATTGTAAATATAATTTCTGAACAAAGAACTTAACTTATACTGGAATATGTATTCCGTTACGAAACATTTAGTATTTTTGCGACTTGTCATACTTTCAGAGCTTACTATATATATATATATATATATATATATATATATATATATATATATATATATATATATATATATATATATATATATATACTTATAACGACAAAACATCAAAATGGAATATGTATCTAAAATGAATATCAGTTAACTCTTTCACTTTTTTAAATAGATAGGAAAGAACTAGACATAAACTGTACGGATGTATAAGACAGATATTCACTCTATTTATCATCAATAAAAAGTGTGGTTTGCAATGCTGGACATAAGGAATTTGGTCACCGTCTTGTTTATCTCTCAACACATTGTGCACCACAGAATAAATTTGAATGTGAAATATTATTTGAAACAATTAGTCCCTTTGATAACTTTCGATGATGCAATGAGAAGACGAAGTTTATCAGAATTATGTGATTTATTTGCGCAATACATTTCGAACAGCCTGATCACACATGTACTTGTTGAGACATGTTTGTATGAAAACGAAAAGGTCAACTAAACAAATTAGATGTAAGCCATAACAAATAAAAAAATAAAGTACACAAAACCAATGTGATAACCACTCTGGATAATAATTCAGTATTACCAGGGTAGGTTCAATGTAAGGACAAAGTGTTTTCAAATGCATAGAGGCAGTTTCAGTTTCCGCATAGCCAAGGCTTCAATTAACCTTAGTATATGTCCTTGAAGGTTTTTATGCAACACTACAAATGCTGACTTGATGTCAACCTTATGACCAGTCTCAATCATATGTTTCGGAATGAAGGATGATGTCTGTCTATCCTGTGATCTTAGCTGACCACTGCAATTCATTTGTTTCTGCAGCCATTTTGGTATGTGTTCACCCACCTTTAATTGCAAATCACGATTGCTCCTTCCTATGTACGTGTTTCCGCACACATATGTAAATTGATAGACACAATAAGATGTGACAACGTACAACGTTATTTCGTTTTTCATTGGAAAGGAATTTAATCTCATGGTACAAAGGCGTACAACAAAGCAGGTCACAAAATTGAGGGACAAATAAAAAGACAGACTTCACGAGCTAGTACTGTCCTTGCTGGGCTATTTAATACTTAGAAACCATTTAGTGGTTTTTTCGGACAACTTACTGAGTGGTTCACATCTTGTATAAGATAATTCTCCCCGTACCCCACGAATACACTTCATGAACTACCTAAGAGCATTAATTACTCAGGTGAAATCCCACGTCATATCACAAATGCTCTATTCGGTTTAGAACGGTCCACTACCCTATGTGATACAGCGCAATCATCTACTATCCTATTTCGTCTCGATTAGCATAAACAGCAGTTTTACCACGTCTCGAATTCCTCTATTTACTCTTGAAAAGTAGCTAACTCACATTTTTTAAAATCAGTTTTTTGTGGATAAGATCTTTGATCAATAAAATGTCTGCCCGTCTCTCATCAGAATATTTCCACAAATGTTAAGTTTCAGAGTGGCATCAACACCAGTATGTAGTAGTGTCTTGTATTCTTCGATCATACATGAATGAACAAATCGCGCAGCCTGAAATTTAGTCGGTACGTGGGATTCGAATCTGTTGCTGGAAATATACTTGCACTAGTGAAAACTGAGAACATCATTCATGCACAAAACATTCAATTCAATTAGCATGTTAGGGAATGTTTGTTTCTAGTTTGCAGAGAGAATAATCAATATATCAACCCGTTTAGTAGATATTTTCATGACCTACTCAAGACTAGTAATCACCAACATTAAGATGGTGGCGCAGATTTGAAGCCCCACCAAAATCAAGATCATTCCCACACTACCTGTAAACGGAATTGCAAAGAGCGCTGAATCTTCCTAATCAAATATCTTAATCACCATTATCTAGACGAATATTGATAGTTATTTTTTTAAATTATGGGAATGCGATAAAAATCTCTTAACATAATTCTTCCTTCAAAATAATTGTCTGTTTCATAGTAATTTTCATCACGAACTGGTCTTCTGAACATTCAAAGAGCAGTGAATAACTACTTCAACCACAATCAAAGCCCTTGATTGGACCTCGGAAGTCTATTTATTGCAACCATGATTTTTGAAATTCACTTAGCGCGGATCGAGTGCCTCTGGGGCTTTCCTTAAATAAGCTATCATTCATAGTTTATTATCGTAGTGGTGTTCATCAGTTTTCTGTTGGAGGCAATTCGCCCTGTCACTTCTAAGGATTTTATTCCCAACTAACGTTGCTAATTTCAGATGACTACTGAACTCGGGCAAAACATTTTACAAAAGAGCGCTTCACAAATATTCCAATACTAATTCCAGTAGTTGATTGTATAATCCACTCGGAATTTGTGTCAGCCGTAAAAGGCGATGAAATTTGGACTAACTGCTGTAAAATCTCTAACCGTACAGCATATCGATGCTCACTGTTCGACTTAATTCACATAGTAGTTTTCCAAGAAAGTCCTTTTATTTTGATCTAGATTAAACAATCACAAAAGGTCTGGAATATAGTCCACAGCAAAAATAATAGTCTTTCCAACTAGGATGTTATTTTAAAACTAGTTGTTGGTTACTTATGGATTATTGTTGTGAACAGATGATTCCAGAGGCAGTTAGGAATTACCAACTTTGTATACAGAAGTTTATATTGCGTACGATAAAACCTCTGAGTAGACTATTGCTATGTTACTATACTTATCAGTAATTGTGAAATGTCCATTGCGTAAAGCCGTAACGTTTTGTAATGTGCCCAAAAATACGGGAGATTCAGTTTACAGAAGCCTGGGATTCAAAAAGTTTTAGGCTTTCAAATGATATGATTTACTGACTAATACTGAGGTAATTTAGTATGTGGACAACCTAGAGTAACCATCTGTATGATTTGCGTCTTTCGTACGTTAATGTCTCAAGTGAACACAATGCTTATTTGTTAATGTAATAAAAGTGAACAGTGATAATCAAAGTTTTATAGGAATTTACAAAAAGATAATTTTGATAAAATAACTCGTAAAAATGTATTTAGAGATTATAATATACACATCAACCAAATTATCTTGGAATTATGTTAATCATGGGGAATTAGATCAAAACGTGAGTTTTATGTTAATTCGATAAAAATGAATGATGCTAAAAATTTATGATAAATGATGAGCATTCCGTCAAACATTTTTAAGAGCTAAATATTAGGATAAGAATTGGAAAACAGTAAAGAATGAACGACAACAGGCAAGCGTGAAAATGGTATGGTTAATGCATGCACCTGGACAATGTTCCGTTCAGTGGTATTAGTACAACGAAAGAGATGAAGCGTCCTCCTGTTTATCATTATAATTTCTTAAAAGTGTATAACGCAGTTAGTGGGATCAAAATAAAACTGTACAACAAATGGCGAATTATAATAATTGCATCCTAGGTGAAAACACGTCCCCGATACTATAATGTTGACATTTTGCATTGGAAAGTAGTGTTGTATTGAGAGTTATACGATCAAGCCATCCGAGCAATTGTCTAAACCCAGCTAGCTATTGCCGAGTGTGGTTGTCCTGTTTTTTCAATATATTCGAAGTGTTTACGTGCATTTCGAATACTCAGCAAAGTCGCGGAGGGCGCTGAAGGGTTTTGATAAGTATTAACTTAAAAAACCAACATATAACCGGATTACATCAGATAGAATTCAGTTAAAAATTACTATTTAACTACTATAATTAAACAAAGATCCTTTTTACTTGACATTTACTTGTGATTATTTACGAAATTTGTAATTATGACAAAATTAGGGACGGTTATAGAAAATAGAAATGATCCACAATCTAGCTTCTAGAAGCAATAATATATTATATTACTATATAGATTGCATATTGAGTTTTTAACATTTCTGCGCGGTTTTTACTGTTACGGAGTGATTTACTTTAGAGTTCCGTGATTTCCTGCTTACTTTTAGATGAGGTTATTTAATAATGGAAAATGCCTGCAGTTTTTTGCTGAATTTTCTTATTTGTGGTACAAGAACGTTCATTGGTTAAAGTGTTCTAAAAAAAATATTTTAGTTAGTCGTTACTGTCTAACATTGAGCTGTTTTTTTTAAAAGACATTAATCTTACCACATGTGTATGAAACAGTTATTTCAAGTTAGAAAGAAAAATATTGAAGCAGTTACAAAACCATGTACTTATTCATGCTTTACTATATCTATATATGATGAAAAATTATTTAAAGCTTGGTCTAAAATTGATCATGAACTTATTCCAAGTATTAAAACGTTGAAGCTTATTTCAAAGCAACCTTGTGATGTACTCGAAGCTGATGAGGTGGTTTTGTTTGAAAGAGCAACATTTTAGAGGTCGCTTGCCACTCTAGCTTTCCACATTTTGATCTATATAGGTAAGTGATCAGTATTGAATTCTCATAATGACTTCATAATTTTGATTTGAAGAGATAAGCAACATTGTGAAACAATTCAAACTCTCATGTAGTAAAGTTTCAGCGAATTTCACGAAGATCGAATTACACAATCAGTACTTTGCTGCATTTAGACGACTGTTAATGGGGCCCCATTCTAACAGTGCTTGTTCCGCCCTCATGCTTAGTGCTATCCCTACTCCTGACAGTCCACGAGAGCTGGCCATCGGGTCACCAGATACACGGAGGGTGTATCTCGTTGGCTCTCCGTTTTGCCGAGGTGAGGTCAAGTGAATGATCACACTGGGATCGTGTATGCGTGTTTCAGAGACACAACATACATCAATGGTACGAGATTCTGGGGTTCTAGCCAAGAAAGCCTGTTGACCGATTTGACATAGGGTGCGTACGTTGAAGGCTCCAATGTGTAGTTTGGAGCGAGGTTTCAGTAGACCTGGGACAGTGTTTTGAGCTCTAGAATCGTTGGCTATGGTGACACTTGAGGGGGAAGCCGAAAA